CGAGATGTTATCTGTGATCACACAGCCCATGCCCATTCATTTCCAAGATGAATTCATTCATTTGTTCATTCTTATCGTGTTTACATTTTTTGTGTGATATGTAGGCCATATGAGCCTTTCATAAAGGTGGTCATCCGGAAAAGTAAGTGGGTCCGTGCAGTACACTCTCGCGCGCTGGAGTGCTCCTCCTCGGACAATGCGAGCACCGAGGTCTATAGGATCCTCCGAGAACGGACAAGCCGTTTTTCGAGAGAGCTCATTGGTCAGTGGGCGGGGTTTTTATACTCGGTGAGTTCAATCTGGAACTTAACCTGCCCCGGAGCAGGTTAGCCGTTCAGCGTATGTTGCCATGGAGACTCGCCTCGCTAAGAAGTGAACCCGCGTCGTAGAACAGGAAACCCCGAACTTATCCTCGAAGTTATCTCGATAAGCAGTAATCCTGCTTCGTAGAACAGGCCCCTGGTTTTACTCAGTAAACCCAGAGTTTCTCTCTGTCTCCGCCCTCTTTCAGCCACACACTTCTTTTGATTTCTGTCAGCCGGCGAGTTTTGAACAGCTGATTTAAGTCATCTTGGTCCATTCGGCACAGTAGCTACTGCAATCTACGACGATGGCGTGTCCTTTTCTTGTAGATCCAGTTGACGAAGGTGCAGCGATCATGCGCGGGGAAATACATATTCATTGAGAGATCATCCTTAGACCCCGAATTGACATTTTAGCCCTCCCGGACAATCTTCTTTTTGAGCGGTATCGTTTTTCTTCACAATCTATTATTTTTATTCACAACCTTATCCATCCAAACATTTCGAACATCACCGGTCACAGTAAGGCGCTCAAATCAGAGCAGATATGTGTTGCGCTGCGTTACTTCACAAACGGGAGTTTTTTATACAACATTGGAGATGCGGAGCATTTAAGCAAGGCAACAGTATGCAGGGCGATCCGAAAAGTCTGCCTCGCCCTGACACGGCTTTTGCCGATTTTTGTGGTCTTTCCTGGACACAAACCTGTCCGAGCCATCAAGGAGGAGTTCCACAGGATCGCAGGTAAAGGATGTACAGATCTGTTTCGTGGTGTTAATTGTAAAACGTCCGGACATGTCATCTTTTTACGTCCTGTCCGGGTCTTTTTTGTTTATATAAATTCCTGAAAATGTCCTATTTTGCCGTGATTGTGGAAATCAAAATATGGTCACCCTATATTGATATTGTGCTGTAACATCATACTGAGATTAGTAAATTTAATTTGTTTTAGGATTCCCCAATGTAATAGGCTGCATTGATGGCACGCACATCCCCATCAGGGCTCATTCACATAATGAGGGAGATTATGTGAACAGGAAGTCGACACATAGCATCAATGTGCAGGTACATATACTGCTTCAACATGTTAAACACCTCATCATAGTTCAATTAACATCTGTCATTCTCTGCACTGTCAAGATCATATGTGATGCTGCATACATCATCACCAATGTGGAGGCCAAGTGCCCTGGATCAGTCCACGACTCAAGGGTGTTCCGTGAGTCAAACCTGAGCGCCAGACTCCAACGTGGTGAGAAGCCTGAAGGTTTGCAGTATAACTCTCTTGTCTCCCTCCCTTAATACACTCCATGCATCCACTCTATATTACAGGAGAGTTTGACGGCCTTCTGCTGGGTGACAGGGGTTACCCGTGTCAACCGAGGCTACTGACCCCATACCCAGACCCTGAACCAGGCCCCCAACAGAACTTCAACCGGGCTCACTGCAGGACGAGAGCCCGGGTGGAGATGACCATAGGCCTGCTGAAAGCCCGTTTCCAGTGCCTACGTCACCTCAGGGTGACCCCCGAGAGGTCCTGTGATATTATAGTGGCATGTGTTGTTCTTCATAATATTGCCACTATTAGAGGACAGCAACACCCCGCCCTACAAATTGAGGAGCCAGATGAAGACCCCGTCCACCTGCCACCAATTCAGGACGGCCGAGCAGTCAGAGACGCAATCTGCCGTAACCACTTTTGAGTTTCAAGCACCCCCACCACCATCACCAGCCCCAGAAATGAAAAAAAATCATGAAGCGCATTTCAGTTGGTTTTCTTTATTTCCTACAAATACAAAAGACAGTTAAATTAATGTTCCAATAGTTCACATAATTGACATAAATGACGTGTGACCATGCACCCACCTTTAAGTTGTGCTCCAGTATTTCTATTTCAAGATCTGCTTTTTTTATCTGGCGGTCCAGCAATAGCGTCTCTTTATCCATTTTTTGTATTTTTTTTAAAAGATGTATTTTATATACATCTTTTACTGGTAACTGGGAATAATAAGGAGGACATTTCATTAACTAGTTGCACATGAATTCCACATAGTGAACCGCTGGTGTTTACTGAACATTTTCTCACTGAATCAATGTGTGCCGTGGACGTCGAGGGAGCCTCCTGCTGCTGCCCAGCCACGCTCTGTTCAAAAGGGATGAGAATGTGTTAATAGTGTCACTCTGGACTCCACCAGAATGGTCAGAAATGTCAGTGGGAAGAGAAATCTTGGTCACATATCAAGAAGCTACCTCCATAGGCCTTCCTGGCTCCTCCACTGTAAACGCAGCAGACGTGGTTCGCTCCTCATCATCGTCGTCTTCGTCCTAGATGAGTGATATGATTCAGTATTCTTAAACTACCATTCAGCAAAGGCTTTCGAGTATTGCCTACTTACAGTTGGAGGGTCTGCTGCGTCATGAGGGGCGTTCCAGGAGGTGAATGGCACCGTCAGAATCTGTCGGGACAAAAGGAAAAATACATTAAAGGGAAAGAAATATTTGTATGAATATGCTTACAAAGAGAGGAATATATAGGTAGAGAAATATTACATATTATGTAGGCACTTGTGTCTTGGGCGGGGGGGACCTCAGCGGACGAGCTCCCGCCAGGGATTCCCTCAGCCACTGGCCGTCCCCCGTTCTGGCTCAGGGCGAGCTCCTCTGCCTCTGTTAGAGGTGGGGCCTGCTGGGCCACCACCGGTTTTTCGGGCGTCTGCCCTCTTTCTGTTTGCTGAGTGAAAGTCTGTGTTAGTTTAATATTCCTAATCATTTAACAGAACATCATAAGAGAGTAAAGTTCATTTTTGAGTGTGAAAAGAGCATTTTGTAAGGGATCAAACTGCCACTTAATACTTACTTGACAATGTAAAACATGATCAAAATGAGAAAATGCAGATGTCTCACCTGTTTGCACAATGTTTTTATATTTAATTTTCAGCTGCTGCCAAGTCCGCTTTTGTCCCGCTGGATTGCACCTACATAAAATAATTTAATTGGCTCCATGCAAGCGGTTTCCCCTGCAACAGTCTGTCATTGTGATTGCACAAGACTAGCTTTAAACTTACGCATCGACACGAGCAGCAATTTCCTCCCATGCCCTCTCCCTCTCCTTTGCAGCTGCTGCTGTATTGCACTTTCTTTTAAAAACGTGCTGTAATTCACCGTAGGCTTGCATTAAGACTTCCTGCTCCACTGGTGTAAAAATGGCTGCCCTCCTTCTCCCTGTTTCCATGGTTGATCAATGAATCTGGGCTCCACAGATGCTGGCTGTTTATATCTGGTGTGCACGTGCTTAACTCCAGGGGTCCGTTTCACGTAGGTGGTTCAACAAACTCTGAGTTAAATCCTTAACTCTGAGTTGATCTACTCTGAGTTAGGAAACTCTGAGTTTCCGGTTTCACAATACCTGATTTGAGACGGTTTTAACAACTCCGAGTAGTTTGACCTGGAGTTAAGCACGTGCACGCCAGACATAAACAGCCAGCATCTGTGGAGCGCAGATTCAATGATCAACCAATGGAAACAGGGAGAAGGAGGGGGCAGCGGCAAGCCAACAGCGAATTACAGCACGTTTGAAAAAGAAAGTGCAATACAGCAGCAGCTGCAAAGGAGAGGGAGAGGGCTTGGGAGGAAATCGCTGCTCGCGTCAATGCGTAACTTCAAATCTAGTCTTGTGCAATCACAATGACAGACTGTTGCAGGGACACTGCTTGAATCATTTTGATCATGTTTTACATTGTCAAGTAAGTATTAAGTGGCAGTTTGATCCCTTAGAAAATGCTCTTTTCACACTCAAAAATGAATTTTACTCTCTTATGATGTTCCGTTAAATGATTAGGAATATTAAACTAACTCTCAGTATGTATATGTACGTATATTAAACTAACACACACTACACTCAATATTAGACTTTCACTCAGCAAACAGAAAGAGGGCAGATGCCAGAAAAACGGGTGGTGGCCCAGCAGCCCCACCTTTAACGGAGGCAGAGGAGCTGCCCCCCCCTCGACGATCGAAACCCCCACCTCGTCGCAGCGATCGTCGGCCGCGATCTTAATACTTATTGACAATGTAAAACATGATCAAAATGAGAAAATGCCGATGTCTCACCTGAAACTCTGGGTTTACTGAGTTAAACCTGCTCCCGAGCAGGTTAGGTTCACGGAGTCTGTTACTGTGGTAACTGACCGCGAGGCTGAGTTACCTCTCTTTGTGAAACAGGTTAGAGTTACCCCTCTCTCCCTGGTTTAACTAACCCTCCTTTGTGAAACGGAAAACTCAGAGTTTCCCTGATTTCAGGGTTAACAAACTCGGAGTTTCCACTAAACCTGCTACGTGAAACGGACCCAACGTCAGGTAGCAATGGGTTGAATGGTAGGACAGAACTTATAAACATCCCGCCCTGCAATCAGGCCAGGCACCGCTGAAGATTAGATGCAGCTGATGCCACTTAAGTGGAGGTGCAGCAGCAACCTGCCACACAAGCTTAAATATTTCTCTTTTTTAATGCTTACATGAGGAATGATAAGTTAGCCCAATGTTTACAAGTGTTGAAGCATACTTTTGTATCTCCAGGATTTTCTAGTGTATTTAAAGTATGTAAAAACTTCCTTAAAAGGATTGTAAAACCAATCAAACATTTTTCACATTGCATGAGGTGTCTGCTCTCATAGCTGAGTTTGTAAGTCTTCTTTGAGTTTGAAATCTGTGAGCCTGCTGAGTTCTGGTTCCCTTTATCTCTTTCTCTCATGTTTTGTGATTGGCTGATTCCAATTGGGGGAGGGGGGGGGGGGGCACAGCTGGAGGTAATTTAGGTCATGAGTGGACTCCTGCTGAGAGCACACCTGTGGAGAATCCTCTCCGGAGGGTTGGCAGCATGCTGTCCTTGGTGGAGTACCACTCCAGCTCTCAGCTGTTTAAGTTTCAGTGGACTTTTTAGTACAGAGGATTATTAACTGTCTTTGTACTAAAGTCTATGAATTTAACCAAACCCCTCTCTACCCACTTACCCACAAAATAAACAGACTCACCTGCATAAGACCTTGTGGAAACAGTCTCTCTGGAGTGTCCTTTAGAAGTGTTGAATTTATAATGGAAAATAATTAGTGCTTCAGAGAGTTGCAGCAGTCAATAAAGAGTAAAAAAAACTTTTGACTGATCTCCAAACTCTGTCCTCTGATGGTAGATGAAGGCATGTTTCTGTGGGAACACTCTCATCGTTAATATCACGTCAATGTCTGGGATGAAAGACAAAGTCATAAATATTAATGCAAACTGTTTTCTGGCTGGATAAAAGAGGTGCAGCTGCATCTCTAGTCTGGTGAATGTGTCCTGCTTAAACAGCTAAATAAAAAACATGCTTAACACATGAACACGTAATTTTCTGAAGAATCTTTGTAAGATGCACATGTGTATGCACAGAGGCCTCTGTTGTGTTAAGCAAACCAGTAAATGTTGTTTTAGGCTACTTAAGCGCAAAACATACAGGATCTGTATTGAACGCGTTTAGTATTTGCTCAATCGAGAAGCGCTGACTGTCGGATACAGGATGCGTGTTTGGAGCGTAGCAGCGGCATAGAGAAGAAAAACCTGCTCACAAAAGGTTGTTTTGCCTTTCTGTGGTCTATTTCCTGCTAATTTGGATATTATTTAGCGACCGTTGAGCTTCTACTGTATGTGAAAAAGCGACGTGATTTTACAGTTCCGGTTTTTGCAGGTTAACTCATGTTTAATAATGTTTGACCATTGACCATTGGATTGTTCTGTGTTACTGATAAATCCATAACCAGGAATTATTTCATCTACCCGTACTGATACACAGTCGGGAGTCTGCATATGGTGTTTTATTTTGAAATACCTTGTTGACATCGGTTTCGTGCTCGACATCCTGTCTGGAACAATCTTCTTTGCTTAGACTGGCTCATGTTGGAAGCATAGAGCAGAGAAAATAGACTCAGCGCGTATCTTTGGCAGAGCCGCGCTCGATGCGCTTCTGAGAAGCGCATCGAGAATGGGAACCTATTTGCTGTGTGACACGGACGGAGCAAGCTCAACACGGATTCTGTATGTATGAGGCTTTAGGCAGACAGTTTTGTGTCACACATGTATGACTTGGCAACATGTCTAAAAAATCTGTTTTTTCTATATCAAAGTGCCTGAGGAAAACCAAAGGAGTCATGATATGAACTTTCAAATGTACGTAGTTTAATTATATGCCTCAAGTTTCCTGTTTGATCATTCTTGAGGATGTATTCTTTGTTTCAGCACAAGGATAAATGAGGGAAAAAAGCTGTTTGATGTCAAAAATCTGTATTCCCCATTAGTTTTTCCTCTAAACACAGACTGTCCCAAAGGTATGCTGCAAACATTGGCTCAGCTTCCCGTACCTCGCTTGGATTTCAGCTCTTTCAAGAATTCATCATTACAAGGGTTTCTGATTCAAATCCAGAGGTCTGCTCATTTTCAAAACACATGTGAAGCGATCTAACTTGAATGTTTGTATACTCTGGATCCTTCTGTTGAAAGCTCTTGTAAGGACTTTTTTGACATCTATGAAATACTTTGAGATTTATATTGAAGCCTTTAAATGTTACTCAATAGGGTTGGACAGTATTAAGGTATACTGGTGATGTCTTTCAAAAGCAACAGTATCAGTTTCAATACCGTCATTACGTCGTTAAAAAAATATGCAATGCACTTATATAGGAGATAAGGATTTAATATAAGATATAATCAATTCAGTGCCTAAAAATAATTCTTTGTCCAGCAGCACTTACACGTAGTTAAATTTTCAGTTTTACTTGCACAGTAGTTTACTTTTGGAGTCTTTTGTTAAGTTTTGTTTGTTAAGTTTATGAATGTGACGTCATCACGTGACACCATGGAGGAGAAAGACATAGAGAGAGGAGGAGAAAGATGGCAAGTCGCGTACCGAGTGACCTGGTGGCAAAGAAAAAGACACGACTTCTGCAGTCTCGCAGTATTTCGGGTTCTAAGCTAACTAGGAGGGGGAGCCGGTACATACTGATGAGGCTATTTGTAAACTATGAAATAAAAAGGTGACCGCGAGAGGTGGAAACACTTTTAAGCTAAGGACTCATCTCCGAAACAACCACCCACTCACTGCTGCGAGGATTCATTTAGCCCCGGATTCACACAGTGCAACAGTCTCAACACCTAACGCTGATACCAAGTCCACCACCACTTATGCACAGCTGACAGTAATGGGTAGCCTCCAAGAGATCAACTAAGTACAAAAGGAACAGCATCCATTAGAAAACCTGCACTGATGCAGTGACAAAATACTTGGCCAAGGAAATGGTGTCTTTCCACACGGTGTAAAAAAAGTCCTTTTAAGGACATGGTAAAGGCCCTAGACGCCCAGTACAAGCTGCCTGGACAGAAATATTTCTCACAAACAGCCGTCCCACATTTATATATTAAAGTTAGAGACGAGATTCAGGCACCGCTGAGGGCTGTTTACGTCTAACTGAAACCAGTCGGTGATTTCACTGATATTTTGTCAGGAGAACATTATGTGACCAGTTCCTCTGTCCGCCCCACACTTCAGTTATGCAGGGACAATGTGTTGGCTGTTTCAGAAAATGACCTCCAGCTATCAAAGTCAATCAAAATTGGAATTCTAAATAAGCTGCCCAAGTATTAATCCAATTCAATGCACCAATTGATACAAAAATGCACTTTCCTCAACCCTCGTTACCGTGGAGCATATAAAACTGATGGCAACACATTGGCTGAGACCAAGGCAGAATTACAGACTAAGATTGTGAGCTTGGAGGGGCAAGCACCAGTAGCAGGTCCAGTTGCCATCAAAGTGGAAGAGGGAGACTCACAATCCGCACCCCCACTAAAAGAGATGACTGGGAAGTCTCCTGCAAAAATATCTGCACAGGGGGCAAGCCAGTCCTGAAGGCACCATAGAGGACCGAGTCGGGGCTGAAATAACAGCCTACTGTTTAAAGCCCGTTATCCAAGCAGAAGAGGATCCACTGCTGTGGTGGAAATGTGCTGCCAGACATTTTCCCCTGATGTCATGAGTGGCCAGAAAGAACCTGTGTGTCTGTGCCATAAGTTTGCCGTCTGAACGAGATTTCAGCACCGTAGGAAAAGTTGTAAGTCCGCAACGTTCCCTGTTAAAGCCAGAAAAAGGTAACATGCTGTTTTTTTCTGGCTTAAAATCTTGAGTAAACCTGTTGCCACTTGCCACCTAGCTCACATTGGCACTGTGTATGTGTGTATAATTTGTTTCTTTTACCTTTTTCCACTTTTCTATAAGCTGCTTTTTTTTTTTTTTTTTGCTATGCAAAGTTGTTCAGGCTGTAATTTAATTTAATTGATGTGTGTGCGGTGCATTCTGCACAAAAACTTCTGGGTTGTTCTGTTAATTTAATTGTTTGACTGTTGTGCACTTTTAAAGCTGTCTTAATAAAAGTTGTTAATATCGTGCACATTATGTTGTTATTGTTTCATTATTAGTGTTTGGTATTCAGTTCCTGAATGGTGTAGGCACAAGCCAACAGTTTGGTGATGCTGTCTGAGCCTTAAAGACCCACTCTGATGAAAATCATGTTTTTCTTGTTGTCTACATGTTCATATGGCACTTTTCTGATGCTACAGGACATATCATAAGAAAAGTAAGTGCAAAGTTGCATTTCTGGGTATTTCAGCATTCAAATTACTGTGAATCTCTGGCAGACTCAAACGGCAGAATCAGATACAGTGAGATTTCCTACGAAATCCAAGCTCCGCCCCCGGAGCCCTGCAAGCCAAGCTCAGAGAAATACAGAGTACAATCGCAGGAGACGCGTGTGCGTTAGCGGACTGCAATGCTCATGAGAAAGCTAATTATGATATCAATTTTCATCATGTCCCCATAGATCTTAGTGGAGAGCCGAATAGCTACTATGTTACCTGCCACTTCTACTACACTGGCAATGATGGACTGCAAACTAGTGTGAAGAGGAGTGTGTAGAGCAGTGCTGTCTCCACTCACGACTTAGAGGAATTCCTAATGAGCTACTGGAGCTCTGCAGAAGAAAGTCCTTGAAAATGATATAGGTGACGTGATTTCGGCTATAAACTTCATAATCACAACTTAAAGATCACTGATCATACTACTTTAAGTAGTAAAAAAATGATCAGTCATGAAAATACCATATACCACAGTAACTTGTGGTGACGGTATCAAAATTTGGATACCGCCCAACTCAAATACGCAACACAAAGTGTAACTCCAAGTCAATCACACTTCTGGGATTCTGGGATGCAGTGTAGTGGTAATTTTTTCTTCTTCCTTTGTCCAGTCATACAATAACACTATTGATAGAACACTTACCATGGGGAGATCATCTGTCATTTAAATCCAGATTTCTCACTACAATAGGCCTGTTTTGTTTAAGGATCCCGTCTTATTTCCTCATAAGACATTTCCTCACAGTGTATTTAGTCAATCAAATTTTCATTTTAATTCAATAATGGCACGACAACTCGAGCAAAGGACTTATAATATGCATAAGCAGGCAGATTAATGTCTACATAAAGGACTTGATCAGATTAGATTCAGATTTTTAGCAGATAATGAGTAATAAAGATAATCGCTGCATGACTGTACAGTGTGCAACTGTGCAAAAGTAATCACAGCATATGACATTAAAACCTATTAGAAGATTTTGCTGTGCACAGCTGGCATCACAGCACATACTGGAGAGGGAAAAGCTCATCATCTCTGACAGAAATATCTAAATCAGCTTCAGCCTGAAGACAGTCTCCACAGGCAGTGACACTGAAGCACCATCAAAAGAAAAAAACAACACAAATGTCAAGAATCGTTCTCCTGCTGCTTGCAACAAAATGTGCCAGGCTGCAACGCAATCCTCCGTCTGTGCTGGGACAAGTTCTCGACAGTTTTTCAGCAGGAAGCCTCATCCAGATCCCTCCTTTCTCTGTCAGCACAGCAGCCAGGTCGCAGCCAGCTGGGTTAATGATGAGCAGGAGGACAGATGGGATCTGTTGTCATCTGGAGTGATGGCTCCCAGTCTAGTCTCTGTCATTGAACTGAGGCTGTCACACAAACACGATTGCAGACCTTTAGACAGTCCAAGGCTAACGAAGACCTTTTGCAAATGAAACTTTTGGTTAATACAAATTGATCTGTTTTACTGGTATTGTCTTCGAAAGACAGAAGGTGCAGAGTTTATTCTTTTCTTTCTGAGGGACAGATAGTGAGATAAACATGTGTAACATACACTACTCACAAAAAGTTGGGGATATTTGGCTTTCAGGTGAAATTTATGGAAAATGAAAAAAGTTCATGCTACAGTGATATATCTTAAAAGCAGGACATTTAAGTAGAAGGATGCACTGGTGATTAAACAATTTATTGAAACATAAATTAACAACAATGGTGGGTACACCACAACAAAAAATTTCAACATCGTACAATGATATTTGGGAATTTAAAACTCTGGTTATCTACTGTATGTCCACATGCAAACACAAAACTGGAGTTTTCCAACTTAGATCTTCACTTTTTTCAGTTTTCCAAAAGCACTGTTTTAAATGACGCAATCCTGCGGTTTCATGTGGATGGCAGGACAGAACGTATAAAAGTATATTTGTTTAAGCAAACACTTGGCTACGTGTGAACATGGCCTCAGATTCAGCCATCTCATTGCCAATCCATTGCACTTCATAGTCCACATACCAGCACTCTTTCCACAGCCATAGTCATGGTTATAGTCGTGTTATAGTCATTGTTATAGACCTTCCTTGCCTTTTTTTGATTTTTTGTTTTTTAGAAACCTCCTCCTCATCCAACTGCCTACCTGTATATCAACCTCTGCCTCACTTCATGATAATGTGTCTGATTGTGTAAAATTTCAGTATGATAAATTCTTAAACTCTGCCTGTTGAACAATCCTAGCACAACAAGATTAAAGGCTCCTTTTTTGAATGTGCATTAAACAAGAATTACACTCAATGCAGCTCAAATAAGACTCAATGTGATGCAAAATAATCCAACATCATCTATTTGTACTCCCTTCTTATCAGCCTCACACATTATTACTAAGGCATCCTGAGAAACAGCTAATTCCCTTGCTATGAAATGTGAAGCACACTTTGCCAGCTGCTGGAAGATATAAAACTGCAATTAGATTAATCTTCTCTCCATTAAATCAAGTGCCAGTCTGGTGTGCAAGTTAGTGAGTTGTTTCTCAGCAGTCACTTTGAGTTATTCTGACCTTTTCGTTTAAGGGGTGAACAAGTTATACTTATAAATTCCCACATGCCAACAGTGAAGTTAAAACCCATCAATCACACGAGGTGAGACTGACAGGCATCTGCCATTACAGCTGCAACTCAATCAGCCCACTGCTGATGTTGAGCGAGGACACCACAGGAGATGGACTGACAGCTCACAGTACAGGGCGGACTGTAACTGAGGCCCAGACTTGAACTGTAAGAACATTAAACCCACGTCGAAGGGTAAAGGAGGCTAAGTCCACGGAAATGAGAAATTTCTCTGCAGGTTTAACCACCCTGTCTTCAAGGCATGTCATTACCAGACTTCACTTGATGTTTCATGTGATAGCTGTGCTGACGTGACTCTGGGGAAGAACAGGAAGGCAAGAAAGGGATTCAGGGATTTAAGGTCACGGACAATCAAACCCGAGGTTTTTTCAGAGATGTTAGACCAAATTCTGAAGGAAAAAGTTATTTGCATATGCAGAAAACAGGAAAAAAGCAGAGGTAGATCTTAGTTATAAGACTGGAAAAATAGCAACACCTCCCATACTACTTTCAGAGATTTGCGTGCTACAGGCAGGCCTGCATACAGGGGGAGTTTAATGTTGAGTTTATCCAGTGAAGTACTGAGAATACTCCTAACTGTTAAGTTTGCATGTCTGAGTGAAATTGTAAAACACACATTTTAAAATTCAGCTTTGGTGTTTTTTTCCTCTTCCTGTGTTTCAGAGCAACACAAAACTTGAGAGCGTAAAATAGAGCTATGATCATGGGCCGTGTATTTTGGTCCCTCCACCCTGCACTCCATCAATATTTGTGGGCACGAAAACCAAATCAATGTCTTCTAGACGGGAACTAATCCCTGTGGCCCTGTGCTTTGTCTGGGCACCACTAGCTTTGATTATTCAGCATCAATCTGCCACAGGGAGAATGAAAGGACCACAATCAGATTAGTGACAGGTACTCTCCCTGAGATAACAGCATTACTGCTTTAAAGACACAGCAGACTGCTGACCCTGGACATGCTCTCTGTCCTCATCCATCCTCATGTCTCCCCTTGCTGTGACCTCACACTGCTGACAAAGACATGGTTTGAAATGATGCCTGAACATCTCGGTTATCAGCTTCAAATCAAATCAGGCACAGTAGGTTTGGTAACTTTGGGAAACTAAGTGTTTCTGACAGACTTAATCTAAGAAGTTAGGGAGCCACTGATTTGTGCCCTTAAAAACTTAGCAGTTGTCGAAAACATGAAAAGTCTGTGAACCCAGAAGAATTTTAACCTCAATAAATAAAAGAGATTTTCTTGCTCATGAGTTTTTGGACAGATTCAAGGGGAAGCTTCCTGATGCACTGTTGTGCTTTGCAAGTTTAGTAAAAGGTCATTTGAAATGATAATTTCTTTTATCATTTCAGTTTGGCTGAGTGGTTAGTCACACATCTTTTCTGCACTCCATGGGGACCTTAAATTACTTCAGGTTGGCCTCTGTGACCTTCACCATTTTCTGTGTTTTTCTTCTTCTTTAATTTTCATATCAGTGTTTCAGCCCCTCCTCTGACCCCCCCTTCTGTAGTCCCCCTGTGGAAGATTTTCTATGAGTTAGATCATCAAAGCCTAAACTTCCACTTCCGGATTACAGGTATCATTGGAACTGGTTTTGAACAATTTCTCTTCACTCAGGCTTTTTGCTTCAGGCTGTCTGCATCCTTTCATGAATAAAGGCAGCATTTAGCCTGTCATGTGGCTCCTCTTCTGCATGAACGGTAGGATCTCAGAGAGCTGGCAGGGGGGTACCTCTCCTGGGAGTAGCCAACGGGGGCCATGGCTCAGGAGTTGATAGGGCTTCTGATGAAGATATGTGAGTTGGTAGTGGGCGGGTAGGATTCTTTCTGGCTTGCTGTTAGTTAATTTTTATGCTGGAAGGCAGAAGGCTGGCTTGTCCTGTACCCATAATCTGTTGACCTAAAATGTTTATAAAGTTTGTCTAGAGCCTCCTTGCGTGCTGCTCAATGGGCCCTGTTTTCATACCCGTGGTGGCGCATCCCGCGCAGTAGCCCGGCACACAGCCAGTTTGGTATTTTGGTAGACTGAGGCGCACCAAGGTTGGCTGGCCACTATGAGCCTGGACCTCCCGAACCAGAACATGAATCTCCTCCTGGCAGAATTTCCGTTGTCTCACACTGCTGTCTTCAGCCTTTTTTTTTTTTTGAGTACTCCACAAAAATAGCAATATGCCTCGCCAGCAGCGGATTTAAAGGGGAGGAATGGAGCTGATAGGATTGGCGCTAATTGGACTCGGCTGTGTTAAGCCCCATCCACGCCTGCTCCCCTTCCTCTTTTCTACTTACGCCACTGGGAGGGGGGATACTTACGCCGGGCTGCCTGCTGAGCAAAATACCAAAATCTGCTTGGGCATGCCTCGTTGGCGTGGCAGACCTGACATATGCTGTGCTTAGGCCACGCCACTGGCGAGGCATGAAAATAGAGCCCAAAGTGTTGCCTTTTTTAACTTTCATTGTGGTGTCTGTCTGTTTCTACAAGCCAAAAATGGAGCAACGTACTCAACCAATTTAAATGTTTTTTCTTTGAAGGTTTTGTCTGCAGGGTCCATGTTTTGGTCATGTTTTAAATGAAAGCGAAAGGATGACCTATGTGTAGGAACTAGATGTTTTATTAAACAACAGACTTCGGATCCACCCCTGCAGCTCTTTTAAATAATGCCAGTTTTAGACACTGACACATTGGCTTCACATATAAAACTAACAGGCTGAAGCTCGTCTATCATACAGTTAGTGATTCATGATGGTTCAGCTTTGAGCGGACAGGTTTTCTTGTGTTTGCAGCAGCTCTAAGGATCCCTCTGTTCTTTCAGCGGTGGAGAACTCTAAAAAGGATTGACCTGTAGATTGGAGCCATCTCTCTCCCAATCCCTCCTATTAGATGTGCACCTCCAGGCCTTTCCTCATCAGAGCCGTGGTGGATTTCATCTGGAATTGAACTGACACCCCATAGATTAGAGCCTCTATCTCATCTCTTTTTCCTCTATCTCTCTGTCTCCTCGCTCTCATTTCTCTTCAGTGCTCCAATTACTCTTCTCAGGCTAAGTGTCAATAAACCCTCAACACACACACACACACACACACACACACACACACACACACACACACACACACACACACACACACGCACATACCTACACAGAGTGAGGGAGAGACCGGATCTGATAGCAGCAGGCTCCTTGAGCACAGCAGAGAAAATGACACTGTATAAACCGTTCTATTTCAATTTAATGATACATTAACTTAAACAAGAGTTTTATTAAGGGCTATTAAAATGCTGTCTGCCTTCACTGCTGTTTGGAAAGCAGAAGGGAGGAGGGGAAGAGTGTTGAGTTTATGAAATAAAAGCTCATATAATTCAAATAGCCTCTCTGTTCCCTCTAAAACCCATTTCAAATAAAAAAAACAAGATATTTTCCCCCAGAGCTGTTCAGCCAGCTTCAGCTCTAATAAAACAGCACCACTTTATCAATAAAAAGGTAGAAAGAGGTGCAGGGCTGAAATGGATTGGTGTGGACAGGCCATCAGGGCTGTAGATACATCTACAAGGAGTGTTTAAAAGCCCTGAGAAGTCATCTGTCGTTACCTGAAAGAAGGAGGAAGCTGGAGTTTATTGAAAGTGACGGGTGGGAGCAGAAAATCAGTGATCACTGAGTCACTGAGGTAAATCCCCCGATAATGGGACACAATAAAAAACAAAAGCTGCTCAATAAAATCTCAATTGGGCCAATTTTGTTACCCAATCTCAGATAAGAGTGTGCTTGTTCAAGCAAAGAAGTAAACCTGTTCATTACATTATTGAGATTCACTGCTGAGAGTGTTCAGGTATATGACTGGCTAAAGCTTTTTTGACAGCTCCACCTCGTAGACTGTACGGACAACTTGGCTCCGCCTTCCATCATCATACGCAATTGAAGCTGATTTGCTCTCAGTATTTCCAGGATTTTCTCCACTTCCTGTAACCACCACTTGCGCAGTAGCATTATACACATTCGTGGGAGAGATGCTGTGATGACGCTCGGCTCAAACAGCGAATACCCTGGGTGAGCCTCACAACCTTCGTACACCCATAGGCTGTATCAAGTGTCAATTACAGAAAACATGAACACCCTAATAACTTAAAAAAAAAAAAAAGCTGTACAGAAATAAGAGGAGTTGAGCACAAACCAGTCTTGCTATAACTACATGTCAACATTGTAACCAGGGGGAGAAAAATTTAGATTCTGGGTAATTCATTTCTAAAGTTTGTCCACAGCTCCATAAGGATTGCTGGAGGAGGCAGAATTTATGACCTATACTGTGGCCCGTCACCAGAGGGTATTGTTCTTGTATGCAGGGATCATCAGCCAACTTCCCTGCATCACCACTGGTACCTCAGTTTCCTTTACTTTTTTCCAGCTCTTCTTTTAGCCAATGGAATTTTTTGAGCTTCTCATACTCCTCTACCCTGATGTTGCTACATATATCATTCTTGCCCTCCTCTGCTGTTTATCCACCACAGCTATGCCAGGTTGATCAGCCACCACCAGTTTGTCAGTCTAGATCTGGAAGTCTCATAGGACCTTTGTATGGCCATTCTTCACCACCATTGGGGTGTCTTCGATATTATATGGACCTTGGGACCTCGGCACAGATATTTCTGATACTTTGCTGTCTAATAAAGCTATAATTTAATCTAGGCATTGTGTGAATGAGTGTCTATCTCTGTTTGCTTCACAGGAACAGCAGGTGATGCCCAGAGAAGACTCCAGGTGGAGCGGCAGCACCCAAAGGGCCCCTCACCAATGTGCGTATTACTGCAGTGAGCATCTATTGGTCCTCTGAGTGTCAGGGGTTGGGCCATTAACACACATCAAGATTGCCTGAGAGCTCCTCCATCATAGAGGCTGTCATCTTAAATGTTTGTGAGAATTTGTGTGCTATTTTTACTGCATGTTAGGTTGTTGCAAAGCACACCCTGCAGGAAAAAAACTGCGACTACACTTTAAACAGCATCGTATTCAAAAGCTTAATGAAGCAGCACACTGTACCACCTCGAGCGCTGTGTGGAAGTCTTTGTTAGCAAATACAAAGCGAAGCCAGAGTAGACTGATCATTATTTTTAACCCAGGGCTCAGCATTACAAGAAAGCACCAAAAAAAGCTGTGTGAAAGTGTTGTTGGTAGCAGCTCAGCCACTAATGAGAGCACTTTCAAGAGTCGCGAGAAGAGGTGCTATGAGAAATAGAAGTGGTGAAAAGTGCAGCGGAATCTGGATGCTCCTCATCTCTTATTCCAGACTTAAATCTAGGGTTGGATCAATACTTTTCTGTATATAGTCTATGATATACCTATCATTAATAAACCAGTGCTCATACATAAGTTGTTCTTATGACTTTTTTGTGCACTCTGAACTAGCTTATACTGGTTTCAAAACACACCGTACTGCTAGTGTTGTCATATTTGTTTAACTCCTGTGCTCTAACTGTGTTTAATTTCTCACACCTGTGATGCTACTTAAAGCCCAACAGTGTGTAGCTACCACATTAAAAAGAAACAGCTAAAGCACCTGGACGTGTGTGTTTTTCCCTCCGTTTCATCTTTATTCTCACAGATTGAACAAACATGGCAGAGATTCTTAGCTATGAGCGCACAGGGCTATTTTCCTGCCATATGGATTTACCTTGTGTTCCATAACTGTTCACTCAAGTTTGAAATTAAAATCCTACATTACACCTTAGAAAATGTTTGTGCAAGCCATCTGTTCTGCCTAATCCTGCGCATAATGCTCACAAAGCATTTACTGACTACAGAGGAAACATCAGTAACTAATATTACATTTAGCTCACTGTTGTGCAGGTTTTATTGTTACACCTGTGCATGATTCCCATCGGTAGAGATGTGAGAGGCATCATTTTATGCTTGAAAAACACAATATACTCAGAGATTTCTCTTCCTTTCTTAAATTTACATCCCAAATAACTGAATGAAGACATCTTGACTGGGCAGTCTCTTTAATAAGCCTTGGCAGTTTTGTATTAGCAGTCGTATAACACTGGAGGAAGGGACTTGTTCCCTGGCAGACCTCCATAATCCTAACTAATGAGCTATGACTTTGGCTTCACTCATGTACAGTCAACAGGCCTTACCAGATATGAACCGCACATGCCAGCCTTGACTACTCTTCTGTGGCCGGTCTGACTTCTTTCTCTGGATCAGAGCCATTAGAGTTCACAGATTTCTCATCTCAGCTGAGGGGAGCTGGTAATGCAGATGATGAAGAAAATGAGACAAATAAATCTTGTCAGTCTGGATTTTGAGTGAATTGCTTGATTTTTGTTATTTATTTCATTTTTATTTAACTAGTAAAGCCTTGCTGAGATGAAAAATCTATTTTACAAGAGTGTCCTGGCTGCTTTTAAAAACAATTTTCCTGCTGTCAATTCCATGCTGCAGGATTACCTTATAAATATGGACTTGCCAGTGATTTACTCTACAGTTAGACAAGACAGGCCAGCAATACAAGAAATATTTTCTTTGCAGCGAAAGAAAAACAGGACTTATTTCTGAAATGGAAGCCTAGAATCAGATTTAACTGGTCACTGGATATGAAGTTTAAAAGACAAAGAGTCATCAATTAGAACATACAGACTTAATCACATCACCACGAGACATAGCAATAGATGTTCATTGCTTTGTCTTTGAATTTGTAATCAGAATCAGAGAACTGTATTTATCCCTGGGAGGTAAGCATCCTTAACGTTAGCATAAGTCCAGGGTCCTCTCCCCTCTTGTTGGGCAGCTCACATACTTTGTGAAAGTAGTTAGAGTTTTTGCCATTCTTTCACTGTTATGTCATCAGGGTAGCACCATCTGTTATTAACGAGCACAGCAAACCCTCCTCCAGAGTTCTGCAGGAATATCCAGCAGTCTGGACCACATGCTGTCCGGCTGATCATGAGTGTAAACAAAGCAGCACAACAGTAGTTGGAGTAAAATTCAGCTCTCCCATGATGAAAATCCTTAATTCCCTATGAGGAATAAGGAAAAGAATTTGTTGAAACAGGGAAATTCTTGGGTGTGCAAGAAAATAAGGCAAAAATAAGAAAGCAAGCAAGAGCGACGGTAACAGGCTGCATGCAAGGCAAGCAAGTCATGTGCACTAGGAGTTTAGTTTCACAAGGATTTAAGATCAGTCCTAACTCAAAAAGTGCTGACACATACATCTGACATTTGTCCTGCTGAACTCATTGAATACAGACCAGTGGCCCTCACTTCACACATCATGAAAACCCGGGAGCGGCTGATTCTTTGCCTTCTGAGGTCAAAGACAAACTGGATTCCCTGCAGCTTGCATACAAAGAACACATTGGAATAGATGATGCTGTCCACTACATGCTTCACTGTGCCCTGTCTCATCTGGAGGAACCTGGGGTTTATGTGAGGATCATGTTCTTCGACTTTTCAAGTGCATTCAACACCATCCAACCCACCATATTTAAAGACAAGCTCACAGAGATGGGAGTGGATCCTGCCTGTGTTTCCTGGATCGCAGATTACCTGACAGGAAGGCCTCAGTTTGTCAGGCTGGGGAACTGTGTTTCTCGGACATTAATGAGCAGTACAGGGGCTCCACAAGGGACAGTGCTGGCGCCATTCCTGTTCACACTGTACACGTCAGACTTCAGATACAGCACTGAGTCCTGCAACATCCAGAAATACTTAGATGGTACCGCTGTTGTGGCATGTATCAGAAATGGACAAGAAGCTGAATACAGAGATCTAATAAGAGCCTTCAGTGACTGGAGTCACAAAAACTGCCTCCTCCTCAACACCTCAAAGACAAAGGAGATGGTCATAGACTTCCGTAGATCCAAACCCCCTCTTCAGCCAGTGAACACCTGTGGAGCTGACATCAAAGTGGTGACATCATATAAATACCTAGGTGTACATCTGGATAATAAGTTGGACTGGTCTAAGAATATAGACTTCATCTACAGAAAGGGGCAGAGCTGCCTCTTTTGCCTAAGAAGACTCCGATCAATAGACATCTGTAGTAAGATGCTGCAGATGTTTTATCAGTCTGTGGTGTAGATCTACAGTGTTCTGTTCTACGCTGCAGTCTGCTGGGGAGGAAGCATCAAACACAAAGATACAAGACGTCTTAACCAACCTGGTGAAAAAGGCTGGCTCTGTGGTTGGATTCAAGATGGACTCAGTGGAGGATGTGGTGGAGAGATCTACACTGAGGAAGGTGGAGACTATTCTCAAGAACATGGATCACCTACTTCACAACACCTTGATGGGCCAAAGGGCCAATGGTGGTGGACGGCTCCTCTCTCTTCGCTTCAGGACAGAAAGATTCTGAAGATCCGGGAGTGGTAGATATTAGAGGCTTACCCTAAACCAAGGAGGATTATCTTGACTAATAACATGTATCTTGACTTCTTATACCAAGGAATCCAAAAAAGAGGTGTTCTTGTAAATAATTTTTCACATTTAAAGGTGACTGCTTGCGATGTTGACATGTAGTTACTGTAAAACTGCTCATGTTCTCTTTTTCTGTGCAGCTCCATTTTTAAAAGTTATTAGGGGGGTTCATGTTTTCTATAATTGACACTTGATACAGCCTATAGGTGTACAAAGATTGTGTAGCGCTGTTTGAGCTTGAGTGTCATCACAGCAACTCTTGGCCACTCTCCCGCCGAATGCGTACAACGCTACTGCGCAATGTTGGTTTCAGGAAGTGGAGAAAACTCATGGAAATAACGAGAGCTTTTCCGCTTCAAATCCGTATACTGGCGGAAGGCGGAACCAAGTTGTCCATAGTATATATAGTCTATGGTAGGAACTCAGGAAGAATAAACTAATCAGAACATTTACACTCGTTGCAAAATCAAACACTGGGACACCAATATTACACTGCTTTTGGGTGCTAAAGCGTAACTTTGTTGCTAAATTACAATGAGCTTCTCTGCTGTAAAGCTGTACATTTAGATATAGAGTGTAGGAGGGGCTAACTCACTTTTGGGATCAGCCTCAAGTGCCCAAGTGTAAAATAAAACTGTCATAACAGCTTGTAAATGTATTTTTCAAATCAAGTAGAAGAAAATAAGATTTGATGTTTGATGAAACAATATTCCACATAAGGGATATATAGCATGACATTCAAGGACCCTCAACATTATCAACCATAGTTATGTTTTTTTTTGTGCTGTTGAACCTCAATAACAGAATGAGGAAGAACGAAATCTCCCCCATACTTCTAGGCGAACTTGTGCTTAAATTTCAGAAACCAATGAGCTCTTAGCCCAGAGCATCAACATTCACACAGACAGAATCTAGCATGAAAATGACTCTGCAATTGCAAATAAGTGTAAAAGCTTTCCAGTGAGCAGAACGCAACAGCGCACTAACAATGGATCAAACCCCAGAGAAAATAAAGGCTTCACAATGAAAAGAGAAGGTTGTTATAGGGAGCAGGCCAAACGCTGTCTCTTTGTGTTTCATTTCTTATCACCCAAAGGAACGTGAGAAAGAAATGACTCACAGGATGCAAAGCTGACAGAGAGCGTACAGAGCCATGTTCCTGTGGTCTTTTCTGTAGTTTAAAGAGGAGGATCAGGGTAGGGGATAGGTGGAAATGAGAGGAGGTGGGGAAACTCTTCCCTTAACAGTGTACAGATATGTTGGTCACACCTGGGAATAAATCTACAGTGATCACTGCCCATGAGGATGCTCTTAAGATCTGTCAACGTTTGTGACCCATAATGGCATTAGCCTTTTGCTAACATGTTTATTGATTATTTTGGTTTGTGATATAATTGAAGAGTACTAATGAGTTAAAAGGGGGCATATCACTTCACTGTAAGTACAGTGGACGCACCTTTAGAGCTAAAATGGTTTACACCCGGGACTAGACAGAAGTCCAGTTAAACTGTCTGATGGAGCTATAACTACTGCGTCTGTGCATGTCAGCGTACCTAGATGCAGCCAGCTTGGCTTAACAACATGTGCTTTGCCACAGTGGGCACGTTTGATTCTATACAGCCTACTGAGCTTTGTAGCTAACTCCGTCACCTTATCTCTATCCCCACCATTGCCTAGATTGCTCCTCATTGAAGACAAAGGGCTTCTCAGCCACTAGCTGCGTTTCCATTACCCATAGATTTGCGCAAAACGTAAATATCGCAATAGAAAACTGGTAATGGAAACACCTACATTTCGAAAAACCTCCCAAATATCGCTAAAAAGTTTTTACGCTCTCATGAGGTGGTTTTTCAGAAGTGTCGATATAGAAGTATATCGCAAAAGTGTAATGGAAACACTTTTCTCGCAATTCTCTGTCACCGGACGTGACGTAGCGGGTCAAGTGACCAGGGGCCTCATGTATCAACGCTTGCGGCGCAAGAAAACCTTGCGTACGCCAAAATCGGCGCACACGTCCAGATTTATCATCGCAAAACGAGCGTCGGTTCCAGCGCTAATCAACGCAAAGTCAGGAGGTGGTGTAGAAATTGGCGTTGAGCTGGATATTTGCGTTGACTGTGATTCGCACTTTGGCGACGCTGTGTGGCGGTGTTTGGTGACTCACTATGTGACCAGCGTGCACCACATCCCCGTGGCCGGGCAGCACGTCGCCCCACATGACGAACCAGCAGCAGACGGAGGGATGCGAGCTGATCCCTGCCGGGCCGCCGTCCTCGCGCGGGAGAATCTCATCGCCACAGTGTGAATGGGTAAGAAGTGAATACACAGTTCAATGAGCCAAATTAATTTATTTTCTCCACCAGACGCTCGAGGAAATTTACGAGCCGGTCCAGCCGCTCGTTGATCCCCGCGATCCCCCTGATGATTTCTTCCTGCGATTGCAGGACCCCCTCCGCGAGGACCCTTCCACTGCGTCCGGGTGGTCCAGCGGAAGCGCCGCGGCTGGTGGACGCTCCACCGCTTGTCGGCGCGCTGGTGCTGATGCTGGTGCTGGGGCCGGGGGCCGGGGTGGCCCGAATGCCGCTGGTCCTGGCCGACGACTCCGAGCCGGCGGACGGGCTGCCGCGGGCCAGGGTTCCGCAAGCCGGCGACACGGCCGACACATTAATTTCTGTGACACAATAAAAATATTAGTTCATTTCAATTCCTGCTTCTGTGTATCTGTTGCGTTTACATCTCTCTCCACGGTATCAAAGGTAATGTAATCCAGTATTTAGAGGTCAGTTATGCACATTACAGTTGTTTATTGCATAAAAAGTTATCGAAAAATGAAGTTAAGGGCGAAGTATAAATCACGTCTAAAAATAGACTGAATCCCGACGTTGAAATGAAGTATAAACTTAGACTAGACGTCTAATATACGTCTTTTGCTCAGTGGGATGACAAAGCATGTGGACATTTGTGTGACACGCCACTTACCCTATAATAATAATCGCCACCACCCGCTGCTCAAACGGTGTGAGGGTCTCCTCCCCCGGACCCCCACCTGTCTGGCCGGTACTCCTCCGGAGGGCAGCTGTACGCCGCTTGACCTCCACCTTGAGGTCCGACCACTTTTTTTTAATCTCCGCGGGGGTGCGTGTCTCGGAACCCACCGCATTCACCCTCTCGCAAACTTTCTCCCACTCCAAGCGTTTTTGTTTTGCACTGACGCCACTGGACAGGCTGCCAAACAAAACACGCTGTCGCTCCTCCACCTCCGCCACCAGCACCTCCACCTCGCACGCCGTAAATGTAGTTTTTCTTGTCATTTTGTCTGCGTGCGAGGACAGGGAGACCCTATTTAAATAAATCTGCATATTTATAGGAGGGCGTAACGGGGACGGGCCCAGTCACTCCGACATCTGCGCTCAATTCCACGCTGATTGGGATTTATCAAGGAAACACACGTGGATTTCGGCGCCCGCACACATTGATACATACAGATTTTTTTCAGCGTGACGGACCTTGCGTGCGCTCGTTTCTGGTATGAGTTCCACGCAAGTGTTGATACATGAGGCCCCAGTTCATTTCAAGCGTAGATGGCACGGTATATGTGGACGGGGGAGGAGACGGACTTATTTCTGAAGTTTTTAATTGTATTTGTATTTTTCTGAAGTTTTGAATCCACAATTCGTCTGTGAATTCCTCATTAACGATCCTCTCCCAGAAATCGCTCATCCGTGTTCGCTCCCATACATACGAGCTTTGCCTTTGAATTATCACCCACTGCCTTCGTCTTCTGATGACAGCAGCGGCAACAGCAGTAATGGTCACAGAAATAGCTGCTCCAAAACGAAAAATGTTTTGTGTCTCGTCCATGTTGGTGTGCAAAAAGGCTTAAGGAATACGAGGTCGCACGGGCAGGAAGTTTACCTCGTTGCTAGGCAACGGCCATTTAAACACGGCTCGCGAGAGGCAGACGGCTCGCTTATGCCCTGAACACCATTCAATGGAAACACCCGCAAATCGCAATTGTACTTTGTCGAAATTTGATAAACATCGCTTTTATTTTGCGAAAAAATGGAAATGGAAACGCAGCTAGTGACAAGATATTCCACCGATTCACGTTTTTACTATAACATGACAAGTAGCACTGTAGTAGAATAAGAATACCTTATTGGGTGCTAAAATCTTTTTTTTTGTTATGATTTTTTCCTGAATTAATATGACATAACCTCTAATGGTCTTCCATAATAAGTACATTAAATATGACTTCATGGTCTGAACCCCTGGATTATTTCCTCATGGTGCAAAAACTTCACCATTTGACAGTAAAATGACAGAAAATTTGGGTAACAAGGAAGATGATGTGCAACCCAGCTGAATTCAAACCGGGGCTGTTGCATGAAAATTGGGCTGCCAGGACACCAGCACTTATCTTAATGAGCTTCTTGTCAGTATGTGGAAAGCTCCAGCGCTGCAGCTCCAGGCTTCGATCATATCACTGCAAACTCAGTCATCTGGAGGATGTTAACAAACAAGATACAGCACAGAGAGTAGATCATTTTCGAGTTGAGCTCACTGGTTCAAGCTTTAATGGATCTCCACAGCTTTAACACGCGTAAATTAACATGCAGCTATATGTCCCACACCATCATACATTTTGAAAAAGCTGCAAAAAAGAAGTTGGTTATGAATCATGAAGAAGCAAAAAGATGTTCAGCTGACAGGTCGAGGTTCTCTGCTCTATGCCCTCAGGTCATCACTATCTATTTTAGATATGAATGTCTTATTAAGAGTCAGTGTGAGACATTTCACGCAATTAAGATCGCGTCAAAGATGGTGCGTTTAATATTTGAATAGAGCACATACTCCCAGAGTGATTTACACCACGCTGTAAACCTCCAACAATCTTTAGATTATGTGTTTCTTCTTTAATCTATCTCATAACAACCTCACTTTCATGAGGGGCTTTTCCTCTGATAGCAGACCCTCTTATCTGAAAAATGTGAGCACTATAAATATTCAGGTTCCTTCTTTCATCAAAACTGGACCCATTCAGTGAATAAATACTGTTTTAAATCATCTCCGGAGTGTAGATCGAGTTTGTGTTAGTGAACAGTAATGACAGGTTAACTAGCAGTAACAGACAGTTAATGCTAATCACGAAGTTATGGACGAATTGGATGCCTTCTTTGTTTTTTTTCAACTGTCAGCAGTTGAGGTGCCGAACTCAACCCTAAAGAGGAGTGCCTGGCAGAAAGTTACCTTTAAGAGATAATACAGTGTAAAATTAAGTTAGGTTCAAACACACCATAACACCAAGTAAAATACCCCCTTGAGAGATAAATGTTGCAGACTGCTTGCTTCTCTAGTTTTACCAATTTTAGTAACGACTGCACAATGGCAATACACAGCGGTCTATGTCTCAATGCTAGTACTATGGCTGGGACCCTATATGTGCTGTTGATGAGTTAGGTGCTGTTCTAGGCATTATTTGTGGCTATAGAGTGGAGTTTTGGTTGAGGTTTGCGCGTGGAGACGTAGACCGCTGTGCATTGCTATCATGCGGTCATTGCTGAAGTTGGTTTAACTAGAGAAGCAAGCAGTCGGCAAAATTCATCTCTCAAGGGGGTGTCTAACTTGGTGTTACGGTGTGTTTAAACCTAACTTAATTTTACGCGTGACATGATATCATGTGTTTGCATGCAGTGAATGCAATTACAGTGGAAGTGTTTTTTCCGGAGAACAAATTTACCCCTATAGTTCAAGTGAAGTGAAAGTGAAATATCACCTTAAAGTCACTGAGCGAGAAACTTAAAGGATAAGAGGGGCTGGTTACAGGCATGGAAAACTTTAAGTGACAGCAAAGACCTGATGCACCTTCCCCATCAAGCCTCAACAACATCTGCAGGGGAGCACATGTCCTTCGACAATCCCAGCTGATCTTAATAATGCATACAGAGCTGCCCAGACATTTACATAAAACCATGTAAGATCAGGCAGAAGAGCTGCTGGGCAGAAAGAGGCTGTTCCTTGCCTCCCTGCTTATGAATATTAATGACCACATGATCACCAAAGCAGAGCTTCCCCTGACAGGGACGGCCACTCCGGTTGGAGGAGTGAGGGATCAGAACAGCTTGTGTTGAGAACTTTCTGTGACCTTGGTGAATTATCATGCAAAGATCCCTGATACGGGATCCTGTGATATGAGAATTCTAGCTGTGTTTTCAGCCAATTCAGACTGGAACAAGAGAGTGCATATTATTCAGATGAAGTTCTTGAGACATGACTGGAAAATTTGGTATAAATATGCAATGTGCAGTTTATGGTTTGGGCTGCAGAACACAGGAGAATCTATCAGTACAACGTGTGCATATTGTATGAGTGACAGACCAACTATTATGAGACAGGGGTTATTTAACATGACTGTGGAAGACAAGAAGTCTCAGTGTGATTTCATGCCTCATGACTTTTTAATACAAATAGTTATGAAATTCATCAGCCACAGCAGCTCTGACACTAACTGCTCACTCTGTTTACGTGATGCAGCATGTTTCAGACCACTGACTTCACATTGCTGCACTGTGGAGGAGCTTTCAGCTGCTGAGGTTTTCAAAGTGCATCTACATCTACACAATTTTAGAGAGTGACTTTAAGTTTGTTTTTCCACAATGCAATGATGCAATGCTTTGATTTTCCACACCAAATTGAAAGACTCTCCTTTCTGTCTTCAAAGAGAAATGCAGAATGGAAATATTATTAGAATATGACTCAGCCTTATTGGCCAAGTATGTGTAGTACACATACAAGGAATTTGACAATGTTAAGCATGTCATTATATTACAGGTAGGTTAAGTACAAGAGGTAAATGTTTTAAGTATTAACATTGCATTAAATATCAATTAACAGAGTGTGCAGAGGCACATGTCTGATGGGAGGACTGTTTATAGATAAACCGTGGAATAAAAGTCATTTACGGTCACAATGACCTTTCTGCAGCTCTGTGAACATTAGGAGTTCATCAGGCCAAGAAGAAACTGTCTTTGTGCTCGCTGGTTTTGATCTACTGTCATTTGTAACATCTACCTGAGGGGAGGACTGGTATAAGTCCTGGGTTGGCCCTGATGATTTTCTCTGCAGTCCTGATAGTCTAGTCTGGTCTTCTGTAGTCTGTTCAATATGGTAGTTTTATTCATTTACCCAGGGACTCTATGAATCCCCATTCAGCTGTGCTAAATTGTACTGTTTTCTGAATGCTGTCTCACCTCTAGACTTGCCGAGGGGTTTATTGATTATTAAATTAAGCTCCAGCATAAGTTCAGTCAGGGAGACTATAATAGCCGTCAAAGCTGCATAAGTGTCTTTTCCACTCCCACGCCAACTCACTTTCATGATGTCATCACTTATAGCAGTCATTGGTTAATCAGCCACTTGACCAGTGTCTTTCCTTATCCAATAGCATGGTAGCACATGCTCACAGTCAGCCTATCCCCGTTCTGCTCTCACTTTAAAAAATAATTTTTCCTCTGCCACGAGTTCTTTCTCACCGCTGGTTTAAGCGCAGCACCCTCCACCTCCCCATCTCCACCCGATCTCAGCAAATTCAACAGTGCCATCATTTATCCATCCGGTCCCAACAGTCCTCAGCTGCCACCACCACCAGCTTCAGGACCCCATGGGGGGATTTTCCTACCACCGCATAGATCAGGCATCCTACGATCTCACAAATCACCCCACTGAGTCTGAATGCCAAAGACTTTCTGTCAAGCATCATTCTGATAATTGTCAAATAAATTTTAAATGTCTTTAAATGTCTCATCTGGTTGAACTAAATTTGCCTCTAAATTGCCCTATTATTGAAAGTTGTTATAATCTTTGCAAATCAAGAACAGCATAAACTTTTTCTGAATGCTAATACCATGTTCATTTACTTCTATGTGTTTTTTAAACTGAGTTTGTAACCTTTGATTTAAAAGAAGCATTTAATGATAACCTTGTTTTGACAATAGAGAAAATAAAGCACACCTAATGTAAAATAATGAAAATGTGAAAGTGAAAGCAACTCAGACAAGTTTTGTACAGACACAATCTCTTTTCCTAAAACTGGATCACTTTCACCTTAACTGCACTTAGATATGTGGACTGTGTCTGTAGACTCATAAATAAACAGATGATACCTCAAGTGTCCAACACAAAAAGAGCATTTCTTTACAGATGAATATAAACCAGAGAATCTACCTGAAACTCCTCCTGACATTTATAAATCTAACTGTATTTTATACAAAACTAATAAACAACTAGAAAAGCACTTGAAGAGCGCCGGCCCCCCGCAAGCAGCTCATGTCCCCCCTTATATTGTGATTCACACCAAAACTTTTACTGTTACGTGTCTTTTATGAACTTTTATTTGTGTTTAAACTGGTTAGGGTTTAAACTGGTTAACAACAAAGCTCATATTAGATACATAAATGCATGATTTGTTATGCAATATTTGTAAGCGTACACTTCCTTGTATCTTCATTGGTTATCTTTCAGCATTGAAAATTCCAACGACACCCTTATTTTTGTGTGTTCTGGATCACAGTATCCGGAATTTTGTCTGGATCAGGATCAACCTTTGACACCTCATAAAACTCATTGAGATCCTTTTGTGTAATTTTTTACTAAAGACTCTGGACATTTTTATAGAGTTAAATGCAAAAATTCCAAAATTTGCCCTATCTCACAATGACAAAGAATCCTTCAAAAAATTCATGGATCCAGAAGGCGAACTGGATCACCACCAAAGTGTAATGGGATCCTCCTGGGGCTGAGACGCACCTCTTGTAAAAATTTCAGGTCAATCCATCTGTAACTTTATCCGTAAAGTTGCTAACAGACAAACAAACAAACCAATGCTACCAAAAACATAACCTCCTTGGCGGAGGTAAAAAGCAATGACGGACAACTTTATTTTTGCAGAGTAATATTACCCAGATTCACGATGTGCTGAGGCTGATGAATATAATTGTTTGAATCATACAAACTCACCCAACAAACACCCACAAAAAATTTGTTGTTTCCTGTTGGATGACTGGATT